AATCACTTTGCCGCTCCCCGCAGCCTTCACGGTGCTACCGTTGGCCAGCTCCACGTCCGGAGTGACAGTTTCGTCAAGCGAACTAAACCACTTTCGATCGTTGCTCATGTGAGCGGTCGCACCACTGTCAATGACCCAATCACACGTTTGCTTCTGGCCAGCCATGAACAACATAGCACTGTTACACTCCGCGGTGACTTTCTTCGCCTTATGCTGGCTCTTCTCCTTTTCTTTTGGCTCTTTCTTCGCTTGCAGCAACCGACAGTTGCGCCGCAGGTGGCCTTTCTTTTTGCAAAAGAAGCACACCTTTTCCGCGACACTATACGAATCTTTCGCATCACTTTTCATCACGCGCACATCCGAGGATCCACCACCTCGCTCTTTCCACCTTTCGTGTTCGTCGAGAAGCTTCGATTTGAAAAGCTCAGTCGTCAAATCTTCGTCAGAGCGGCTCTCTAACGCTGTAACGAGCCCACCGTAGGAATCGGGCAAACTGCGAAGCATCATCGCAATTTTCATCGGTTGTTCCAGCTTCAAATCGGCGTTCTCCAGCCGACTGAAAAGTTCCTCAACCTCGAACAAGTGGGCTTCCATGTCTCCGCCTTCCAGAAGGTTCAAATTACACAGCTTCCGGAGAAGACTCACTCGAGAGGTGACTGTCACCTTCTCATGATAATCACGAAGCGCTTTCCAAAAATCTTTCGCGTTATCCGCACCCTTCACGAGGCTATACTGACTGTCCTCTATACATAGCCCCTTGCCTTTTTGTCATCCTTTGACCACTGAGGCGTCTCGGGCTCCGGTTTTGGCTCATCGACGACATACCAAAGCTCTTCGCGGATCAGGAGCATCTCCATTCTAAACTTCCATGACTGCCAGTTTTGGTTGTTCAGTTTGGAGAATTTGCTCAACGCTTCCATCTCACACACGAGACACTCTTTTTCGGTCCGGCAAACCACACGCACACTAATGCACCGCGAATGCACTCGCCCAAGACGAGTCAAATCACGCACAAATTTTGCACCGGGAAAATCGACCGAAAAAACACTTTTTCCTCGGAACTTCCACCTGGGCCCATAACCTGTGAGACCAGAGGCAGGTTACAAAGCGGAATCACGTCGTTCGGAGGAATAAAGCAGCAAGAAAAACACGGAACAATCGGAGACGATTAAAAAGCACGCGGCGTCGTTGCGAATCGTTTATTGACATTAATATAGTTCAAAGAGTATGAAAAACAAGGTAGCATTTAGTAGTGCGCGATCTCGCGCTAGAAACGGTGAATGATAGAGGGGTGCACCGTTGTATCGCCTAACAACTTCGACTTGTTTCGTCTACTTACCTACTACTCTCTGACGACTGTGCTGGGGAAGCAGCAGTTAAATTAGTTAATTCGACGCTTTTGGACAATGCTGGACATTTACCAGTTTTTCAATAGTTTTTTGTTGAAAATCAACATTCGGAAGCATTGTTATCGATGCGTAGTCATATTTCTGATCGATTGGTGATAAAATTATTGAAATTGGACCAGGGGCAGCTAAGTTATTAACGTTTAAAATCTTTCCTAATTTGTTACATGTTTCATTTTCAGTTTACACAAAGTGTACCCCCATATAGAAATCAAAGACGTAGTCCTACGTCAAAAATACCATAAACGAACAATAACCCAAATAGCCGAACTTTTCCACAAATGGTTTGGATGATACCCCAAACACGTCGTTAAGGAAAATAACCTTAACAAATTTATTAGGGTTGCAGCTATCATTCGAAAAGGCGATTTCGATTTGAATGGTCTGAGGTTTCATTCGAACAGAGGACGGCACAGTGTGTATAGTATCACACTTAATCTAGCTCGGTAAAATCTCCAACAGCAGATTAACTCGGCATTTACTTTTGCTGATATCTCTGCAAAATACCTGTTTGTTAGCTGATATCTCAGCAAAATATTTTTTGTTAGCTGAGTCTCGGCAATTGTTTTACTGAATCTCAGCAAAATAAATTGCAGAATTACTCGGCTGTTGGAATCTCGGGCAAACATTTTAAGTGTGGACTTGTTTTATAAGAGCCATTCTCATACAAAGGAAGTCCTTTAGGAATCGCCCTTTTAAACTTCCCAAATAACCAAAAGTTCTGATAAAAGACTATTTGTGGCTTAAGCAGCTTGGTTGAAGGTGGTCTATAGAATTCCTCATAGAATTCTAAGCAACCTCATTATTAAGTCGTTATAAGAACTTGAAAGTTTTTTTTTCGTTGATTTGTTTTCCGTCTTTTTTTTGTTCCCGTGCTGAGCACCAATGCTACCGACGCCAGGGAGGCAGCTCCCACACCTGAACCGTACCTATCGACCCATCAACTCATGAACCGGGGACCAACGGCTTTACTTCCCTTACGAAGGAAGGCGTGATCAGAAATGTTATGCCTCAGAACATCCCAGCGGCGCCGACTGGGATTGAACTCAGGCCTACTGGGGTGAGAAGTTATCACGCCTACCACTACACCACCAGTGCCGCTTAACTTGAAAGTACCGGTACCATAATTGAAGAGCATTCTAACAACAATCAATACGAAACTATCGATTTTAAATTGGCTCTCTCAATTGTTTGTTTTGATTTGCTATGAAAGGTTGAAAGATACAATGAGGGGTTTGTTGATTTTCCGATGTTTCGAGGGCTGCATCGATTTGTTTGGGACCGAAGACAGTACCAGAGCCAGGCATGGAAAATCATTTACATTCATTTCATGCATTCATTTACATTCATTTGCCTCTAACTTTTTTCATCAACAGCATTCCGCAAAATAATGCACAGAGCTTTTGTAGGTTTCGTTATTAACTATAACTTGCCCATAACTCAAATCTGTATATCTTATGCATCACGAACTAGAGCGAGTAGAACTTGCTACTGTTTTTCAGTTTATGTAAAATACATTCACTGAAAAACAGTAGTGGCTTCTGTTCGCTCTGGTTCGTGATGCATAAGATATACAGATTTGAGTTATGGGCAAGTTATAGTTAATAACGAAACCTACAAAAGCTCTGTGCATTATTTTGCGGAATGCTGTTGATGAAAAAAGTTAGGGACAAATGAATGTAAATCAATGCACGAAATGAATGCAAATGATTTTCCATGCCTGACCAGAGCTGAGCCAAAAAGTTGAGCACGTTTCTTTGGGACCTACTAGTCTTAGAGTTACCTCTATGATTCTAAGCAGCTTCTGGCGGAACTTGAACGGACCTTTTAGAAAATAAATAAAAAAAGTTTTTTGTCGGCGCTTTTATGAATGTTAATTCTAAAAGTCAGGTCTTTATGAAAGTTATTTCTAAAGGCAGGTATGAAGTGTATTGATTTATCAAGCATTAGTAGCAGTATTGGTACTGTTTGAAGAATTAAACCCAGTCCTTCTACGTGAGAGCCCCAGCACGAACCGCTACCCGGCATAAAAAAATAACCATAAGAAGTGCCTAACCACCAATTCGGGATATCATCCCAACTTTATGTTGGATGGTCGTACCATCTATGATATCGTTAGTGTATATTCTCCAGCCCAGTGGCAGGAACGTAGGCAACATGTTATACCTAAAGAGCCTGAATTTATAAAGAGACGACATCTTATCCATTTGACAGGACTTCTACTCGATTGGAATGACTTTTCCTATGACTTTGACAGACAATCGATTATTCCAATGTTGACATGTCGCCTCTTTATAAATTTAGGCTCTTTAGTTATACCGTGACAGCGGGCCCAGTACAGCAAAATAAACGTCTTCTGAGATATATTAAAGTGAGCTGTTGTCCCGCCAACTGTTGGAGTTTTCAATGAATACGAAACACAACCTAGTGACTTGAATACGAAACACAACCTAGCACAATAAAAAAAGGAAGTGCGTGGCAACCTTTTGCAAAAATAAAGTGAAGACGAGAGATGTAATATTTGTTGTTAAGATAATTCGACAAAATTACTGCTTGCTGGCTTACTCGCTAGAAGTCATTTGAAGTTGATGCAGAAGTCCTCTGCTGCCAAGTGAAAGAAAAGGGAATCTTTCGAAAACCGTGATGCTAGCGAGTTTTTCTATTTTTTCTTGACGTGACGCTTATACACAGACTCTATCACACTTAATCTAGCTCGGTAAAATCTCCAACAGCCGATTACTTCGGCATTTACTTTTGCTGATATCTCTTCAAAATATCTGTTTGTTAGCTGATATCTCAGCAAATAGTTATTTGTTAGCTGAGTCTCGGCAATTGTTTTACTGAATCTCAGCAAAATAAATTGCAGAACTACTCGGCTGTTGGAATCTCGGCGAAATTTTTTAAGTATGTACACTCTTAGCTATCACACTTAAAATTTTTCGCCGAGATTCCAACAGCCGAGCAGTTCTGCAATTTTTTTTGCTGAGATCCAGTAAAACAATTGCCGAGACTCAGCTAACAAATAACTTTTTGCTGAGATATCAGCTAACAAACAGATATTTTGCAGAGATATCAGCAAAAATAAATGCCGAGGTAATCGGCTGTTGGAGATTTTACCGAGCTAGATTAAGTGTGATAGCTATAGTATACGATTACCTAAAATTATCGGTAAAAAATATCGGTATCTTTTACTACAAAATTAGGTAATTTTCAACGTTAATTATTGGTAATCCATGATTACCGATAATTTAGGTATGTGCGAGGGTATTTGCACTTTCTTAAATCATCGGTTATTTTTACCTATATCTAGGTATTCTTTACCGACTTTAAGGTGTGTACATCTTAGGGTGTATTATAAATTAGGTAATTTTGAACATTAATTATTAGTAATCCATGATTACCGATAATTAAGGTATGTGCACTTTCTTCGATTATCGGTAATTTTTCTTTACCGACTTTAACGTATGTGCATCTAAGCGTGTACCTTCTGGCATGTTTGTTTCGTGTCCGAATAAAAAAAAGCACGAAACTGATCTAACCGTCAGAAAATAAACAAAAATTTAATTTTGTTTTGGTATTTTCATGTTTCATTCGTTTCATCACGGATTTTATCAGTCCATTTTATTTTATTTGCATCGTATGTAGTCAGCGGAATTCTTTGAGTCTGAAGTTACCGAAGTTACACAAGGTTAATAATTTTGTCAATCGTTTCCTACAAATTAATAATATCCGTTCAATCCCCAACATACAGATACACAATGGAGACGACAGTGCCAGCACCAGCACCGAAAGGAAAAAAGGGAACAAAAAACCGGAAGGATGCAGCCGCGAAAGATGTTCCGAAGAAGGTGTACATGTATGACGCGACAAACGAAGGACTTCCGCTTTACGGCGTCATTGTCCAGTGGGGTAAGTTCTCAAAAAATGTTGCTTCAAGTCGAGTAAAAACCTTACGTATTTCCAGATTTTAAAACTAAATACTCCAACAGAGCATTGATGACCAAATTTGAACCCAAGCTCGCAGCTCTCAGGCCCGTCTCAGAGGAGGCGAATAAAGAGTACAGCGTAACAAAATCCCTCAAACACAAAATGATTCCCTTTCTTCGACATGTCGGTCCAAACAAGGGTATTGTGATGTTCAACGATATGAAGCAAGCAAACGAATTTGTCATGGTCAAGGATCCGGAATTTAGCGCCTTCATTCCCATGAGCTTTGTCTCTACCATTGGCGTGGGAGTGTTCAACAAAGCCAACTTCAAGTCCAAAGAAGTTGAGCAATTCCTACCCACTGGCTACGAGGCGTTGCAGTGGCGCAAGAAGCGACTCGAAAACAGCAAGGTACAAGTTACGATCGCTGTCCGTGGCACCAAGCTACCGGAGAACTTGAACTTCAGAGGAGATACCATTCCATTTGAACTGTACGAACGCAAACCTGTTCACTGTACCCGTTGCTTGCGGTACGGTCATCGTACGGGTAACTGTATGCGCAAACCACGTTGCGGTGCCTGTACAGAAAACAAGCCAGCGTTGAGGCATTGTGAGAAGGATTGCAACCGAATCAAACACAACAAAAACATCAAGCGATGCTTGTTCTGCGGACAGGGTCATACCATCGGAACGGAGGGATGCGTCGAGCACGGCCAACAGTGCGAGTATAAGATGAAGCTGGTAAAGCACAAGATGGACTACCTCACTGTGATTGAGAAGGAAATTTTGCCGGCCATTCGAACCACGGCCGTCAATTCAAATCGCATCTGGTTGGATTAAACGCACAATCCAGTAATATTAAAGACAAGGTTGATAGAATTCACAAACAACGGTTGTGGATTCCTCCAATCTTGTCCTTAATCAAAACCCACCTACATATTTGATTGATTGGACTGAACTGAATTGCCTAAGTTTCTGTTATAACGAAAAGATTTTTTTATTTGAATTGAACTGAATACATATAAGGATGATTTAAATAACGTTTTTTTTAACAATGGGTTATGACGCTAATTTGAATCCAATTCACCCTCATTCCCGTTTTCAAATAAAACATTTAAAAATATTTCGTAAACAATATATAATATTAATAATAATAATTTTAGCAAGTTGCTCTAACTCGTAAAGATGTCCATTGTTTTGAGAGTATTGCTACCTCTGTCCGTTACCATATTGACCGAGATGTGGGATTGATCTCGGCCTCTTAGATGGAACCAGCCCTATCTCCAACAATCGAGAACTGGCCACATCCTTGCAACTGCTGGGGTCGGTTACTTAAGAGACATGCAAAGAATTTTACAACCTCTTATACAGTGTTGGGAAAATATCAAAAAATCAAATCTCACCAACGCCCAAGATCACGCTTGATTTTCGTAGACGAAAATCAACAAGCAAACAACTGCGGTTGGTTTTGCAAGCTGTGATATCGCAGCTCGGAATATCAAACTACACGGCGAATGAGAACGACTCAAATTTGAGTTTAGTTCACTCATAATCGCCAAAAGTGCAGGAACTCAGCGATGAGTAAAATTTGTCTCAAGGTTTCCTGTGGAAAACCTAAAAAATCTGCCGGAAAATGAGGAAATTGACGAAAATTTTATTCAGTCTAGGAGTAGTCCCAATAGACTGAGTGAATCCAATCTTTACTTTTCTCAAATTCGGGAATTTTTCCCTGGAAAATCCTGGAAAAACCTGGGAAAACATGAGGCAAATTTACTCATCGCTGAGTTCCTGCACTTTTGGCGATTATGAGTGAACTAAACTTAAATTTGAGTCGTTCTCATTCGCCGTGTAACAAAACTCACCAACTGCAAATCTCACCAAACTGTTTCGTTTTCGTTTTTGCGGTGTAGCTACACCGCGGTGTACCGGTGCACCGGTGCTACACTGCCGTACACCGAAATATTTTAGGGTGTAGATATAGGATGCACCTTTGTTATTTATTTATTTATTTAATTACATCGTATTTTGCTGGATCTCAGTGAAAAACTTAGGATACGTTCGGTAAACGTTACTGGCAGATTTATAATAGCAATGGGGTTAGAATAAAGTGTAGTGAAAAATTGCAAGAAAGGGAACGGGCCTGAGAACCTTCTTCTCAGTAAGCAGCAACGGTAACCACTAAGCTACATTTGGCTCCATGTTATCCATGTTCTTAAAAAAATATAGCAGTTTGAAAAAGGGTACTCAAAAAAGAAGAGATTTACTACAATTGTTCAATATTCCGACAGACTCAATTAATCAAACGCAAAACTCTGCGTTAAAAAAAAATATTGAATCAATCAGCAGTCAAGATGTGTCAGGAATTGATGCACGCCCAGAATAATAACACTTTTAGAACTTTTTTTTTGAGAAAAAACAAAATTTGGACCTATTTTTTTCATACAAAATGTTTGAGTCATTTATTCAAAAATATTTGTTCATTAGACCTTGTAAACTTTAACTTGTTTTAAGTTGATTCCGTGCTTGGTTTCCTCCACCGTTTAAAGGGGTTAAAAGTTTCCGAAATTTTTTATTCAGTTTTTCCTGTGATCGATTTGGTTGCCTATACTGACGCGGTATGGCCGGAAGAAACGAGCTCAACTTTTTGGCTCAGCTCTGGTACTATCTTCGGTCCCAAGCGAGGTACCAAGCGAAGCGATGCACCCCTCGAAACATAGGCAAATCCACGAACCCCTCATTTTATCTGTCAAACTTTCAAAGCAAATCAAAATAAACATTTTGTAGTACTAGAATTTTGACTAGAATGGGGTACGTTAATCGATTTGCTTGGGACTAATAGGCTAGTCAAGTAGTTTCGTATTGATTGTTGGTTCTACTCCGGCATTTACTTTGAGCGAAGACAACAAACCAAGAAGACTGGCAACTCTTCCATTTTCTCAACCGAACGCTATGATACAGGTACAATCGTGTCATCTGCCGCTGAAAGGTAAATGCTTCGAACGAATTTGATAGCAAAGTGCGAAGTCGATAGGGTAGAGCGCTACTTCGTCGTAATCGCCCATTTCCGTTCTATCGATCAGAAAAGATCAATAATATCAATGATTTCACCGTGCACAAATCAATAATAGGTTTGTTCCTATGCGTTAGTTCATTAGCCACAACATAAATCCTGTTAGAGCGCATTGTATGAATATTTACGCTCATTGTTCTCAAAACAAAAAAAGCGCTCCTAGCGAATCCCCTTTTTCTACGTTTATCCGTAGGACGAAGAAAATCTAATGGGGTTTCAATGCGTTAGGACGGAATTGAAACTCGTAGAACGAATTTAGAATCAAGAAGCAGTGTTAGATTTTAGACAATATCTCAACAATTTGTAACTCTTTTGTGTTTATTCCACTTCTCGCGCGAGTCGAGATGACCATTCTCGTTTCCTTCTCGCGTGACAATTCTCACTCTATTCCGAATGTCGACTCGCACGACGCGAGTTGTTCATAGACGAGTGCACGGATGGATTTGAGTTCACTCACTCGACAAAAAGTGACACAACAGCGGGGCCCTGTTTACTAAAAATGAACACATGAATAATACTCACGTAACATTTGAAACCGGCCTATCAACTTTCGTACACAAAACTTGTTAAGCCTTTTTCGCGCGAACCGAATACGCCCACGCAAACTAACATCACCATCGGGTAGGGGAAATTCCCCCCTTTCCGATAGTGCTCTTGGTTTGCGTGGACGTACTTTGGTTCTCGTGGAAAGGACCTAGCAAATTATTTACAAAAGTTGATAGGCCCTTTTCAAATGTTACGTGAGCATTATTCATGTGTTCATTTTTAGTAAACATGGCCCCGCTGTTGTGTCAAATTTTTTTCAGTAGATGAACAAAAGTTCACCCGTGCACTCGTCTATTCTGCATCGAGAGGAAGGATGAATCAACAGCGAAGTGCTGTTCATTTCTAGAAACGTCAAACTGAAAAAGTTCATCGCTCAAGCTATGATAAGGGCGTATGCAGTATTTTCTAAAAAAACAGTAATTTGATTTTGGAATAAATATCAGTTTTTTTCAATAAATAAAATCATAGAAACGGATAAAAACAATAGAGCATACGTTTTTCTATCATTTGGGAATTATAACTTAAGGTTCTAAGTAACTTTCTTTGCCATTTCGATAGCACGACCGGTTATGTAATTTGGTCCTTGTTTGAGAGAGGTGGAGGTTGGTTGTTGTTAATCCGAAGATCGTTTTTTTTAGAATCATCCAATCGTGGTCAAGCCCGGTGTTTAGACCACAAACCGACCAACGCAGATTTGGGCCATTCCGATGTTCGAATGGTCGAGTAAACGTCACGGTATTCGTACGTGAAGTACGGATTACTAAATCAACTTTCCGATCGCAAGAATATGGAGGACATGTAAGTTGAAGTGGTTAAGGCAATTCGGGAAGGAATCTTCTAAACTAGGTGCTTAAATTTCCAGATCAGAGGAGGTAACAGCGAACCATGTACGATCTCGCTGTAAATCTAACCCGGTGAAGAATCAGAGTTTACGAGGGAATAGCAGTAATCTAGATGTGCCGGCAAATGACGGATAATCCCAGCAGAAATTTGTTGATACGGGGATGGAAACTGCTGGCAATCTGTCTGTCGTTTGATCCGCCATCACCCGAGCCGTCACCATCATTCCAACCGACACTACTGGCTACAGTAATCGGCATCAGGATCCAACGTTCGCCATCAGTTTTATAGTGGCTGGTACGTGGCCGATCTATGTGCAGACTTCGTATTATACAACGATCACTTGTCACTGCGCGTTTTCTTATAATTTAATAATAAATGAATTCACCGAAAGCATCTTAAAAAAATTAAAGGGTTGTGTCCTAGACACGACCGCAGTATGACGTAGAACCTATCTATCTATCTCTTTTTTTTTTTTAACAGTTTAAATGATCTTTATTTCTTGTGTTTGTGTGGTTTACATGTATGAATTTTTCAAGTGACACAGATGCGTCTTTTCAACTTTAGTACAGTGAGATTTTAATTATTATTTACAGTTTCTAGTCCTATCAGGCCTATTTTAAAGTATGACCACCTTGGTGGGATTGGTTTGATTTGAATTGGAAAAAGGAGTCTACTTATAACTACTATTTACAACTACAACTAACCTACAACTACTATATACACCTAACCTACTATATACAAATTGCTTATCAAAGCATGTTCTGATAAATTACATTTTTGTGCAAATTTAGTCTTAATTTCGTTAATTTTGGAATCTATTTTGGCAATGCCTGCCTCTTCATGTAAATTTGTTATTCTAGTGTCGAAAGGACGATCAAGAACCATCCTCAGCACTCTATTCTGAGCGACCTGAATTTTGTTCCTGTGAGTCTGTGCACATGATTCCCACACCGGAGCTGCGTAGAGGATCGCAGGTGCTATGATTTGTTTGTAGACAGCCAGTTTGTTCACCCTTGAGAGGCGGGATCTGCGGCAAATCAGCGGATACAGACACCTAACCAAGGTAGAACACTTGACTACAGTTTTCTCTACATGCGAACGGAAGAGGAGCTTTTCATCGATCAACATCCCGAGATAGGTTACTTCGGCGGACCACTCAACCCTTGTGCCATCCATGATTACAGTACAAGATGGAGCCGGTTTCAGTTTGGGCGATTGCCGATGTAGGAACATGATCGCTTGTGTTTTGGAGGGATTGATTTTAATTTTCCACGTGGTGGCATAATCAGCAAAGGCGTTAAGGCATCGTTGAAGTTTGTTCGTTATTTCGCGAGGCATCCTTCCTTTGACGGCTATTGCGGTATCATCTGCGAACAGGAAGAACACGCAACCGTCTCCAAGGGGAGGAATGTCGGAAGTATAAATGCTGTAAAGCAAGGGGCCCAGCAGACTGCCTTGCGGCACTCCTGCTGGGATGGAAAACGTGTCGGAAAGACAACCATTCAACGATACCTTAAACGACCTTTGCTAAAGGTAGTTATGGG